TTACAATTAGGGGTTTTGTTTGTTAATGTGTATAACAAGTCTCTCTCTCTCTCTCTCTCTCTCTCTCTCTCTCAATGTAAAAATTTTAAAAATCATTAGATACTAGCATAATAACCTAATCTACATAATAGCGATGCACTAAATAGTGTACAGAATTTTGTGCAACAAATTCATAACATTATACAGAATATAATGAACAGAATATACAGTATAATAAACCAATGATTGCACTCAACTTAACCAATACACGAGTACACGAGCCCTAACTTAGATAGGAATCTATTGCACACCTAAAATATTTTCAAAATAAACTGGATATCAATAATAGTTTAGCGCTAATAATATATCTTGAAACAACATTCAATTAAATTTTAGCGTTAAAAACAAGAGTGAAATCAAAAGTAAGAAATTAAATGAAAAATAAGAGAAATTTCTCGCGAAGAAAGTCATTGAAAGACTGATTACATGTATATTATTCACAAGACTTGTGTGAATCACTCGTTTGAATACCTTATATGAGAATCTAATGTATATTTTTGTCAAACATATCCTGCTATTCAATATTATGAGTATATAAATAGGGTTTGTTTTTCACAAACTGTATAAGACATTTTTGCCGCAAAATAATAAATCAAAATATAATTTCCAAAGTTTTTATTGTGTCAATAAAATACCCATAAGTTTCGCGAATAATATAATATTTGTGTAGAAATATGAATACATTATTGAAATCACTATTCATATTGTGTTTAACACTTTCGTACGCTTATTGTGAGTATAAAAAAGTGTTCATAATTTGAATAATAATAGAATTTTATTAATAATCATAAAATTGATTATAATTTTTATGCGCTTTTTATGAATTAATCGTTTTTCGGAGAAAAATATTAATTTATTTTATTTTTGTTTTGCGTTTAATATTGAAGGCCAGGAGACGGAGGATGCGGATGACTCGGCCGTCGATGTGGTGCCAGCAATAAATGTACCCGGCACAGGTAGTGAATTCAATTTTAAAAAATAATATAAAATATCTAGTATTCACACTAATAATTAATACTATTGGGACCATAAGCGTATATTTCAAAAATCTCTATAAATGCTACATAAATGTAACAATATCTGTGTTACATTTTATTACGAGCATGCTACAATTTTAAGGTTATTAAATAAAATAATATACAATTTAATTATAATAATAAAAAAATTATGTGTCAATGATGACCACTTCCATAAGTATTAATTTATATCCCATTATTAAATTCATATTTATATGATCATTATTTTAGTTACAGTTTGCAACTAAAATTTAAAATATTTATATTTACGCACAAAATCATCCAATTTATTAATCTCATACAAAACATTAAAAATAGTATATAATTTATAAAAATTAAAATTACAGTTTATATGAGTTATATGAGAGAAAATAATCATGATACTATACGCCAATTGAATACAAATTGACATTGGTATTTTAGAAACCTATCACAAATATTAATCATGTTACTTTAGTAAAATGCATAGTATATTACATTTTCTAAATTAGCATGCAACTAAATATACAGATATTATTACAGATATATCCCTAAACCCTCGCAACTACACCAGCATATTCCGGGACATGAGGGACATGGCGGTGGACGGGTGGAACCGGATGCGAAAGCACGTACAGGACAGGTGGCAGCGGTCCATTGAGCGCCTACAGCGAAAGTCCGTGGAGTCCATGGAAAGGCTACAGAGATACGTGTCGGAGCGCATGGAAAAGGCTACCGACGACTCCACCAAACAGTACCTCCAGTCCCTCAATAATAATATACAACAGATTACCGACGCGCTCAGGAACCTCATGACTAACGTCCAGCAACAGCCCGGTGCCGGTGGGGAGGGCCTGTCACCTGCCTATAAGCTAGACGCACGTAGTCAGTAGTTATTGTGTATAGGTGGCTGTTTGTAAGTGGGCATGTGGCTTATATGCGGGTATTTAGGGTACCACTAAAAGTTTGTTAACTATTTTATAATTAATTTTTTGTAATACTTTTTAATTGTGAGGTTTTTGATGTACAATTAATTAATTACATTGCGGTATAAATTAAAAATAAAAACTAATTAAAAGTATTTTTTTAACAAAATTGTTTACCAAAATAAATGCATTAAAAGTTTGTATTGTTTTAATTGAATTAATAGCAAATAGTTTGCCTACTTATGTCATATTATTTTGGACTTATATTTATTTACTTGTTTATTTCTCGCGTAAAGACCTTGATACGTTAGTCATATATGATAAAGTTATTAATAATTTAAGTATACTGTAAATACAATTTATATATCAGTGGCTAAAAATAGTTTAATTAAAAATTTATTTATCATTTCAAATGATGTTTGTATGACATAACCAATGATTCATTTGATTGATAAATGAGATTTAAAAATATTTTATTTTATTGAGAAATAAACATAATTTTGTGGATTAAAATTATCTAAAATGTTTCTAATTTTAATGTAACATGATCGAAAATAATTTATAACTACTCAATGTAATTTTTAAGTACAAATGAATAAACTTTTAATGTGAATGCATAACAAATATACAATTATTCAAATGTTTAGGGACAATTATTTAATTATAATTAATAGTATGTTTGATGAGTAAACCAAGTTTAAGATTAATACTGTACTAACCAATTGAAACAATAAATTATTTCATGTAATCTACCAAGTTTTAAAAAATCTTAGATTTCATTCATACGGTAATAAATTTAATTTATTGCAAACTATTAATGTTTTGAGTCAAAGAACATATTAATTATTATGAAAATCACATAATCAGTATTGTCTAAAAAAATTATCAATGAATTCATTCGTAAATTATTGGGAAAACATTTACTATTTCTTGGCATTTGATTTGTGGGAAAACACGTAAAACATTTAAAATACACTTTTTTCTCCATAGACCTGTAAATCACATAAAATTACTTGTATGAGCCGGTAAACACAATGGGAATACAGTGAACACCCTGTTTAATTAAACAAATTAATTTTTAAATAAATATATAACTTATTAATAACAATTAACTTGTTTATAAGTTTAATTAAAATATTTGGCTACCTTACCTATCTACAATTATTAAATAAAAACTTTACACAATAAAATATTTTGTACACTATGATGTATTGTGAACTAGGTATACTGTACAGGAAACTTGATATTTATAATTGATTTCTATCCTTGAATCGTGAAAATTGTTTTGTTAAACATTTTTTCAATTAAATGTAAGTAAAAGTAAATGTATTGATAATAATATCTTAAGGCTAACCGTCGGGAACGCCTACTGGAAAGGCATTACATTATATTCAGTGAATCGCCGCTTATATGCATAAAAAATAATTTATTTTAAGCCCAGGGTATGGGTTAAAAAAGTATTAATATTTTGATATTATGTAAATAATATTAAAATGTTTGACAATAATTGGTACAAATATTTTGAATAAATTATTACTATTATATATTGTTATTGTATTTATAAATAAAATTTATTATGATAGGTCATAATACAAAAAACATTTTTAATTTTAATTTTCTGAGAATATATTAGCAAAAACCATAAAATAATACAATTAAATCAAGGTTAATTATATCATTATTTTGAAATAAAATTTGTATTAACTCCAACTCTAAAATGATCTTGACATTGAAACTAGGTCCATAATTCCTACTAGTGTATTTACCTAATTTAATTATGTTTTAAAGTGTTTTCAAAAACCCCCTTTCCAAACATACCTGTGCCACGATTTTAGCCATACGTAGCGCATATTTAAAGCCATTATAATGCTTTCCAATTATAATCGCTTATATCATTACTTTTTCTATAATCGTTGATATCATAGCTAATTAATGGGAATATTTAGTTTGTGTAATGATTGAGGTATGAGAGAGAGAGAGAGAGAGAGAGAGAGAGATTTAAACGATAAAAATCACCGCAAAATAAAAAACACATTTTCATGACTTAAGAAATGACTTATTATTTGTTATTTTGAATTTTTGTGGCAATAATAAGCCATTCATTTGGTATTCATATGCGGCTAGAAAATTGAAATACAATATTATTTTATATATAAATAACTATTAGACACCAAATTGTGTTTAATTAGTGTTTTATGGATCTCAAGTGAATAGCTTTTGGTTTAAATCATTTTGTGAATAAACTTTTAATATAATAGAAAATTATTAATTATTTTATTTATAAGTGGGATATATTTGCGTGCTAATTGTAAATTTAAAATTAATTTGTGATTTAGTGTTTATAAATTAGTAATTACTTTTGAAAAACATTTTTTGCATTAAATTCATAAATGTTTCACTAATTGTGTGAATAAATACCATAAATATAATTATGAAGACATTGACACTATGTTTGGTATTTGTATTGCTGTTTACACTCATATTATGTAAGTTTGTATATTTAAAAATGTTTTCAATTAAATTAATTTATATTTAAAAAATACATAATAAACATTTTTGTCGCAAACCATTATTTTTATAAATTTTATTTAATATAAATACATTAATTATTTATTTAAAACAGGCTTACAGTTTTTAAATATAAATACAACAAAGTTTAATTAGTCATAGACCTAGTTCAATTGCTAGTATTACAGTTCTATTACTGTATCATTTAATTTTAAAATAAAATAAAATTTTATTGATTAATTAAATCTATATTAAAAATATATTTAAAATTGTAATAAATTAACAAGCTAAACATTAATAATTGAGCCTTTTGACTTAACCCAATGTTAATTATAGTTTAATTCAAAATAAATAAATAATATATTTGTTAAAAATAAAGTTACAGTTGGTAAAATAAAATGCTTAAGTGTACATTGTATAATATACAAATGTATATTGTATTTAAAAATAATCATGACTAAAAAATTATTTTAAAAACACGTAAGACTAATTAAGATATAAACAATTATTCTTTAATATTATTAAATATTTGTATTAATATAAATATATAAAACATTTACTTAAATCTAGGTACAGTTCCTAAATACATAATCTTGTTATCTTGCTCAATATTACATCTTTATATTAAAAATATAATATTAATTAATTAAATCTGAATTAGATATTACAAAAGGTAGCAGGTAGACTCGCCCAATATAGTTAAGGTTATATTTATGATAAATTAACAAATATGTATGAAAAACAAAATTACAGGTCCCAATTTAAGTAAATACCTAGTTTATTAATAATAATAAATCAAAATTTTTAATAGAGTTTATAATAAATAAAATTTTATAAATTAATGAAAACTAAACTAAAAATCTAAACCCTTTTTAGGCCAACAAAATGATGAGTCGGAAGGGGATGGGAAGGAGTTGGGGGACAGTAAGCCGTCGTTGAAATGCGAGAACGAAAACCCTATGAAACCTAAACCCAAAAGTAAGCCGAAGAGGAATAATAAGATGAAAGAAGAGCCCAAAGATGAGGACCCGGATAATGAGGACAAGAAACCAGAGTCTGGTGGCGACGAGGATGAGGACGAGAAACCAGATTCCGGTGATAACCAGAAGCCCAAGAAAAACGCGAAGAAACCTAAAGAACCCAAAGATGACGACAAAGACCCGGAAGAAGACGACGAAGAATCTGATGATAAGAAACCCGCGAAACAGAAGCCGAAGAATAATAAAAAGGATAATAAGAAACCGAAAAAAGATGACAAAAATGGCGGCGACGACGACGAGGAGGAGGACTGGCCGTCGGGTGAAGAACCAGAGGAACCGGAGTTAGAGACACCCGAAAAGGAGAGACCGGACCCGCGAAAGGATAGTAAGAATAAACCGAAACCCAAACCAAAATCGGGTAAAAAACCGGAGAAAGAACCCGAAAAAGACGAACCAAAACCCGACGAAAAACCGGACGAACCGGAAGAGGAGCCTAAAGACGACGACCAGAAACCCAAACCTAAACCCAAACCTAAATCTAAACCCAAACCAAAAGCAGATGAAAAGGAACCGGAAGATAAAGACGAACCCAAACCCGAAGATTCTGATGATAAGGACGAGGAGCCAAAGGACGACCAGAAACCCAAACCTAAACCCAAACCAAAATCGGGTAAAAATGAGCCGAAAGAGAGTCCTGAAGAGGGAGACGATCCGATACCCGACGAAAAACCGGACGAACCGGAAGAGGAGCCCAAAGACGACGACCAGAAGCCTAAACCCAAACCCAAACCAAAGTCGGATCAAAAGCAGCCGAAAGAGAGTCCCGAAGGAGGAGACCAACCAAAGTCTGATGAAAAACCTGACGAACCGGAAGAGGAGCCTAAAGATGACGACCAGAAGCCTAAACCCAAACCGAAACCCAAATCCAAATCTAAACCCAAACCCAAACCAAAGTCGGATCAAAAGGAACCCGAAGAGGGAGACGAACCGAAACCCGACGACAATCCGGACGAACCAGAAAAGGACGGACCGGAAGATCAAAAACCGAAACCTAAACCCAAACCTAAAAATAATAAACCAAATGAAGACAACCCCGAAAACCCGGACGACTCGGATGAGCCAAAAGAGCCCCAGAATGAGCCCAAACCGGACGACCCGAAAGATGATGAACAACAGCCGCCTAAACAGAAACCGAAACTAAACCCCAGAAGTCAGTCAAAACCCAAACCCAAACCGACGCCTCCCGAAGAGAGCTGGCCGGAGGACGAGGAACCGGAGGATCAGTCGCCCCCAAAACAGCCCAAACCTAATGCTAATAAACCACAGAAACCCCCGAAGGGTGAGGACGACGATCAGCCCCCAGAAGATACCGGCGCTGATGACGAGGAACCGCCTAAACAGCCGCCGAAGCCTAAGAAAAATAAGCCTAAAAATAGGCCGAAACCCCAGGAGTCGGACGACAATCCCGACGAGCCTGAGAACCAGTCGCCCCCTCCCGGTGCTGATGATGACGAACAACAGCCTAAACCCAAACGACCCACTAATGGGCCCAAAAATCACCCGAAAAACAAACGCCAACCCAAAGAGCCGGAACCCGATGAGGAGAATCCGGATGATGACAATCAGGCGCCGGGCGCTGAGGGAAAGCCTAAAAATAAGCCCAAAAAGCCGTCGAAACCCCAGAAACAACAGCCGCCGGAGGACGAGGACGAGGAGCAGCCTAACAGCGATGATGAGGAACAACAGCCTAAACCTAAACCCAAACCCAAACCCAAGTCCAATAAAAAGCCCAAAAAACCGGAAGACCCGGAGAATCAGGAACAGCCCGATAGTGATGAGCAACAGCCCAAACCTGACGGACAGGGAGGTCCCGGCGATGATGAGGAGCAGCAGCCGCCCAAACAGCCTAAACAGAAACCAAAGGGTCGCCCAAAACAGCCCAAACCCAAAAAGCCTGAGAACGAGGAGCCGGCGCAGCCCGAGGGCGACGACGAGGAACCGGAGGCACAGCCGCCTAAACCCAAGTCCCGTAAAAATAAGCCTAAAAAGCCTGAAGACGAGGAACAGCCGGCGCCCGACGAGGGTATGGAACGAGAGGACGAACCCATGGAAAAGCCCGCCCCTGACGAGGACGAGTCGGAGCGCCCGGACGGTCAACCCCAGGACCCCAACAAACCTAAAGTTACAGTAATTATACAGAAAATACCGGTATATCCGCCGAACTGCATACCAATCCCACCGCCCGGTTCGTCTCTATCACCCCAAAGCCCGTTCAGACCCCCCGTGACCACCACTACCACCCGTATCTACCCGTCCATATTCAGCATACCGCGACCGTCGAGTACCTACCCGTTCAGGCGGGTGTATGAGGTGCCGGTGATAAGGCCGGGACAAGTGGACCCGTTGGCCCCCTGGACCCGCCCCCAGAGGCTCCGGCAGCTCATGCAGGATATGATACAAATGGAGCTGGCTAAGTTTGGCAAAATGTTCACCAAACTAAAGGACTCCTCGGAGGATGATAGGGAGAGGACGGCCATGGATCAGGTGATGGCCGGGTGTCAGCACTTTCAGACAGTGCTCAGGAATAACCAGTTGTTTGACTTTAAAGAGTTAATGAAAGATCAGTTTAAACCTAATGAGACTCCCGGTGCTGATGGCGGTGAGGGTGAGGCACCGGCAGGTGGTGGTGAACAGCCGACTAATGCGGAGGGTCCGGAAAGTGGGCCAAACACGGGTCCGATATTCAGTATTTCCCGTCTGATTAGACTTAACTAAAGTTATTAAACTTTTTTGTGTTAAAAATATGTTGTTTTTTAATTAATAAACTATTTTTTTTGATATGATGTTAGCCGTAGTGCTAAATAATAGTGAGCCACAGATCAGCCTGGACACATTAAATTGTATTTGATCTGTAAAAA